GCAGCTACCGAGCGGTAATCTTGACTATGCCTTACTGTACTAAGCAAGGAAGTGCTAAAGCACTTACGGAAGGAAGGAAGGAAAGAAAAACAAAAAAAACCCTTTGATTTATGAAGTACTTAATGATTTTAGTGTAGCAAACAGCAGCACTGCTGTGACAACAAATTCGGCAGATCTATATAGATGCTAGAAATCACTTGGAGAACAAAATTGGGAAAAACCTTACTGCAGTGTTTTAAATACAGTGCACTTCTGTGTTTGGAGTGCTCTCTAAAAGACATGAGAATGTCTCAGTATGTTGAGATATGCCTTTCCAGCATTTTTGATGGAAGAGATTTCTTGACTCTTGCAACTGAAAACCACAAACCCAGATTTTCCGAACAGCTCTTAGGCTTCATTTAGGTATCTAATTGCAGGGGCAGGCATTACAGTGGCTCTTCCTGAAAACAGAAGAATCTAGTGCATTTGGAGGTCTGAACTCATCTGAAAAGTCTACCTCAACCATATTTTCAAGTTTCTGAAAACTAAAGAGAAGTCATACTCTAAACCCAGCTTTGCACCTCGAATTTTTTTGACAGCATAAAGTTGGCACCTATCTGACAAGCCCAGACTGAAACGCTCCCAGACCTTGGATCAAACTTCCATTCGGACTCTGCCTGTGCCAAAATCTGAGCACAGCTAGCTGGTTTCCATTATGCAGGGCTGTAAAAGTATTTGTGAGCTGCTATGCCATGCAATAAAACAAAAAACGGTTGTAATTTTTTTTCTAAACTTCCCAGCTTCTTTATATAACTTGTGACTGCAGCCTACAGTCTAAGAGAAGACATAGGAACACTCACTATCCAGTGCAGTTCATAGTGCCCTTTTTGACGTGCTTCAGTAGGTCAGCTCCGTAGCTACAGCAGAATCCTGTGCAGAGATGTACTGTTGAAAAACGTTAAGGATAGGCTGTCAGTAGACCTCGCTTAACATGGTGGGTTAATAACAGGTGCAATTATTGGGCTAAACAGGACCCCTATGAGGATGAACAAAATCTTCTTTAAATACCTTTAAATAACCTTAATTTTTGGTAGGCTGATAAGGGAAGGCAGTAGCCGTAAAACACTACCACGGGAAAACCTCCCTTCTAAAGCGATTGCCTACCCTGAACTAACATTTCTCCAGCGGAAACAAACCATTTTCACAGCTTGATCGGTTTTATCAGCTGAAGTTAAATGTTGGCTAGTCTTGCTGTGATGTTGCATCAGAGCAGGAAGAATTACTTTTGCTAGAGTCACTAAATCCTCCTTAAATTATTTACTTATTCTTTAATCCATTAATCTGAAAAAGGTCATGTGGGGACCCCATCCGGGAAAGAGGAGCTGTTAAAAGACTACTAAATGTGATACGTTTGTATATTATTATATATTATGCATTGATACATTCAATTGCACATAAAATGGCACATAGCACTTCAAAATAGCTGTCAGAAGGATTAAAAAAATCAGATTTCTGCAGTCAAAATTACTGAATTTAACTCAATAAAGTGGCTACCAATCCCTTTAAAAAAAAAAACTACAGTGCATGAACTCTCAGAATGAAGAGCTCCAAAAGTCCATATATAATATTACATATGTATACACATATATATATATAAAACGTTAGTGCCTAGGAGTCCTGTTCATGAAAGAGGCCCCATCTTAACAGAACAAAGAGAAGATCCCTTCCCCAGCATGTTTACAATCATCTATTCTAATTGTCTATTAGATCCATTTAACACTGCTTTGCAGTTTACAGAGCAAAGACTGTAAAGGCATTTCAAAAACTTTTAAGGGCTGGACTTTCAAAGGGGCATGCAAAATGCTCCGTGCACTTGTGCAAACTTAGGCTCTTTTTACGGTCCAAAAGGCTCTGTTTCCTTCAGGCCTGACACAGACTAAATTGAGTTCCTCTGTTTCAACTGCTGTAAGCTTCTCTCAACAAATTCAAACACACCAAATTTATTTATTTAACAAATTAGAAGCCATTGAAAAGAAAGTTTGTGTCTTTTCCATAGGGCAACAGCAGTTGGCTAGACAGGCTGTTACCTTTATGGATTTTAGAGAAAAGAGCTGAATTTAACAGCTACACCAGGGATGTTCCAATTATGTGCTTTACTTCTGCTGCATTACAGAAATTTTAAGAAGAAAATTGCAGTCCATGAGATAGAATTAGATTAAGTTACCTGCTGTGAAAGGTTTGGTGTTGGGGTGGTTGAATATAAAAAGGGAGATGAAAAGGACAACATGCAGGACATTTTCCAAAGGGGAGGAGCTGGAGCTATTCTGCAGCTTTTTTCATCAAGCAGGTAATGTGCTTGAACAACACACCACATCCCCTTTTACTTGGTCAGTCCTTACAGATGCTTGCTTTAGAAGTAACTTGCATTGGAAGAGAATGCAAAGAGCGCTTTTATAAAGAGTCGGGACGTTAGAACTGGCTAAACAGAACATATCTGTCAAACACTGGCAGGGACTTTCACTAAGCCTTTGAGGTTCCAGCCCTCCTAAAATTGTGAAAGGGTGCTTAAAAAAACCTAACTTAGAGCTCCATCCAACTTTTTCAAGTATCGGTTTCTTGATAATGGGCTAATCACATTCTGAGAGGCTCAAAATCCAGGTGTGGCTCACACGTTGGCATGATACCACCGGAACGCCGAAGATCAGAACTGAAGATTCACTCCAGAAACGTAACATTTTCATGATTCTGTAAGATACAAATTGACTTATAATGCCGGTATGATGGGAAAGGTGTTTTGCTTTCTCATAGAATGGAGAAGTCCAGGAAGATCTTTGTCAGCGTCATCCTGTTTATCGCAGCTGTGGAAATGTGTTTGGCTCAACACTGGTCTTATGGCCTGCAACCAGGAGGGAAAAGGAATGCTTTTTTGGTAGAATCATTCCAAGAGGTAAGTTCTAGATTTTTAAGCAACTCTGTCCTTCTAATTAGGATCCCTTGCACGTACAGGATGCAAGGAAGACAACCATGACACTATCAGAGGTGAAACAGGTTTTGCTGTGTATATATGTATTTTATATGCACACACTTCATTATTAATTGGAAAGCTGAGTGACGCAGTATTTGGGAAAGATGACATTTGGCAGGATCCGTGCTGTCTATTACAAACAGATAGCTTGGGTAGCCTGCTCTAAAGGCAAGATGGAAGTTTTAATTCCAAATTAAGCCCAAATTTACCATCTCCATATTTTCAGCCAATAGTCTGAGTGGCTGTTTTATGACAATGTTCATCCATTTCAGTGTGAATGTAGCAATGAGCAGCTGTCATGTGCTAACTAATTAGATAGTAACCACTTAGATGAAGTATTCAAGCCATAAGGCAGATGTTGAAAGGCTCCATCCACCCGTTTTTCCTATGCTTTCTAATACTCCTTTGCTTCATCCGTAGTCCCTCAAAATAGCAGCTCCTACATCATAACTTTAAATTTACTGTAACATAGTAATACTAGTTGGGAAGAGGTGAATTTAAATCGTCAAGTGGAGCAGTTTCATTTTCATCTGTAGCTAGGGTGTGCTTGCCTTGGAAAAAGAATCTCCTTTCATGAAGGCTGCATCCTTTCCCAATTCAGATGGAAAATGAAATGGAAAAACTGGAGGAAATGCAGAAGACTGAATGCCCAGGCCCCCATCAGCCTTCCAGGTTTAGCGATCTGAAGGGAGCCCTGGTAAGTAACATGTTTGTTTAGCATTACGGGAAAATTAAGGGACTGTCTTGGGCTGGAAAAGGGTAGGGAGGGAGGAGAAAAAGTGGTGGAGGATGAAGAAAAGGCATCTAGGTTTAGTTCATACGTGGCAATACTGACTCTACCCTCAGTATCTGCATTATTATCAAGTACCTCAGAAGCACAGTCTGAGAACAGGACTGCATTATTCTTGATGCTCCCATTCTTGCAATGTCATTTACTCACCAAATTAAAAACAAAAAAATGAAAGGAGTGAAACACATTCTAACTTCATTCCAAATCTTCGCAGCTTTAGCAGATGCTCAGCTTCAAAGGCAGGCTTTGCCAGCTGAAGGATCAGGCCATATGGAAGCTGCTACTCCCAAGGTCCCTAGACTGGGAAATGTATTTTCCATTAGATGCCGTAATGCAATGACAGCAGAGACTGTGTACAGACTAACTGCCACAAAAAGAACACTCTTGAGCAAAAACGTGCTCTTTAATTAATGTAGCAACACCTTAACTAGGGCAGACGCTCACTACTTTCTGGGAAGTGACTCTGAGCTGCTCCTAAAAATTGAGGCACACAACCATCTCTACTTCATTTCTGAAGTCAAGCAAAAAAAAAAAAAATCAACTACATATTCTTGCCTTTCACTGAGGAAAGGCTGGTCTGAACAAAGGCTCATAAAGTCAAACATGCTAAAGCAGACTGAAGTTTAACTTCAATTGGATTTTCATGCACAAATTACCTCCAGTTTTGTTTAGATCATCTTTAACCATGTTTGTACTGAAAACATCATAAGGGGGCATTCATCTGGATCTCTGGCTTCTAACAGCACTAATAGCAGTATGAAGAGCCAACAACAGTAACTTGTTTAAACATCTTGTTTACACATTTTTTTTTTAATTGCAAGAGACTATATTGGGCAGGGAAGAGACACCAGAAAAATTGTCAGAATATTTCAGATGAGTTCTTTGATATCTCTTGCTCGCTCAGGGAAACTTGGCTTTCCTTTGCAGAGCTGAAGGCTCCCCAACTGGATGTTTAGTTTGCTGGTTAGAAATTGCTGGTAATCGTGCATGATAAGCATAAAAAGTGTTTGATTCAGAGGCTTAAGATCTATTTCGCATCTCCTACTCCTGTAGCATATTCTGAATCATGAGGCCTTCTCCTTGTTTTTAACTGCTTATTGACACTGAGAACAAATTAAACCTTTTCCAGATGCAGCTTTCCGGTGTAACACATTCCTGGAGTTGCTACAGGAATGTTGCGCAATGAGAGGGGATGTGTCAGGAAATGGTCCACCCCATGGAAAAAACTTTTCAACTTATCTTCATCATTTCCTGGAGAAACTAATAGTGTGTGCAAATAAGGATACACCTAGCTAACACATGGAAGGAAAAAGATCACATAGTCAGAGAGCACTTCTATGCAAAACACCTCCAGCTACCAACCCAGAGACAACAATGTAAACAAACACTCCAGAAGACAATCAGATCCAGTAGGATGTGATACAAGAATATGCTTTCCCTTCTAACAGCACTAAAGTTTGCCATGGAATGGTAGTAAGGCAACTGCCCCACACTCTAATAACCTTCTGACACTTCTGCAAGCAGAAGTCTCTTGTCTCTGGCATCCTGGCCAACCGCTGAGCTCACAGAGACATTTTACATACTGACGCTTTGTATAAGCTCATGCTTCTTGTTTGAAACTGCTGTTACAATGTGCTGTTCAACAGCTGTTGGGTTGTACTCCAAGAACTGCTGCAGTGGTGGGCCCATTAACAGATGATAAGTTGCTCATGCACTTTGGGATGAAAAGGGCTATTATAAGTGTCAGTTACATTACACTATGTTCACATCCACAGGCAGCGGCATGGAGATCATGCCGGGTCAGATTTATGTCATTCTAATCCTCCTTCCAATGGAGACCATAGGATGAACATTTCAGCACCTAAGCAGGCTTTAAAATTCCATCAAAGTAGCTTTCTTCCTTCTAAATGAAGTATATCATGTGTGTTTACAGGCAAGTCTGATTGAAGGAGAAGCTAGCCAGAAGAAGATTTAAACCAACAAAGCCAAATGGAACAACAAACTCAGAGTAAAATTTGAAAGCAACATTAAAAACAATTCCTTCTAAGATGACCTCTGCTTAGACTGCATTATGTGAATAAATATTCTGAAGTTACATTTAAATGGTGGAAGATATTGTTGCGTAGACTACTAGCTTACTGGTAAAAGAGAACATATTCTAGTGCAGTGGCAGGAACTTAGCAGCGTAACATCTGTGTCATGGCCTGCAAGGAAAATTCAGACCTGACAGCTTTTGTTTCACGTGTATAGACAATGCCCAGGCAGAGGCACTGTCTAATCTCAGAGTCTCTGGATACAACGGTAATACAAGTTTGCTAAAAATCAAAGATAAACTTACTGTTGGAACGTAACTGTAATTCCACTCACACTTCAGTAGTCCATGCATGTATGAAGGATATTTTTAACAGGTTTTTTTTTTTTTTTTTACTGGTTCATTCAAAAACTACATTTATTTTAAAAAGGTATTTACAAACTTTACAATAGTTAATACATTTTTAAAAAACACAAAAATGTATACACCTTGCTTTACAGTCTTAGTGAATGTCATTTACCCAGAGAGATGCAGACTCTCTTTCCAAAGCTTAGCTCCTACTCTTTCTTCAGTCAGATTAAAAGCTGTATTTTTTGCTGTTTCAACTGCAGAAGAATAAAGAGAGAGAGAAGAAAAGAAGGTATCTGCAGACCGTAGAGGGGAGTTTTTATAACTAAACCATCACATCCAGGATCTCAAAACATTCACAAAGGCATGTTAGACAACATACATATATTCCTGAATTCAAGACAGACTTGTCCCAAGCCTCATGGCATTAAACCCTTACAATACCAACAGTGAAAAACTACATCAATTAATACCATGCATATTAGGACTGAATTTCAGAAGTGCTGAAGGCCTATACCTCTGTATAAAACAAACAAAAACTGGAGACCATGCTTCTGAAAAACAGTTTCAAAGTATGCAGTCATGCACATTCAGTGTTTTCAATGACAGCCTTAGATCAGAACAGTCAGACAGAAGCTGCATAAATAAGTTCACTTTTTTTTTTTTAAGCTCCTCTCTTTCCCAACCGTTGTGAATCCTTTGTGTACTTACTACAGTGCAGATGCACACTATCCTAAGGGTGCTTACCGCATTTTATTTTCCGTACTGCCATTGGGCAAAGTACTCCTCAAAAACTGTGATATGCAGGCACAGATATTAGCATGACCTGGCTTTGTCAGCTGGGGTCAGATTTTCCAGAGCACCTACTAGTAACCTAACTGCTCCAATTAGGAAATGTACATTAGTATCAGAAGCAGTTGAATATACATTGCAAGCATTAACAGGAATGTTAAGATGAGCCAGAATGAGGTGAACCTCATGTGCTTTTGAAAAGCCCACATCCTGCCATGCCATCAATGGTACCACTTTATGCCTTTTTGTTTCTGATTCAGTCCTAGGGAAAGCTCACCCTGGGCCACCAGATAATTTGCTCTAAAATAGTAAATATAGGATAGAGAAGCTTTTAATAAATTAAAAAAAAAAGGAGGAGGGAAGCAGTAATGGTCAGGAATGTTTTTACTATAAAAAAATTGCAGTTAAATTATAGCCGTCAAACTTAATATATTCATTTACAATTATATAAAATAAATAAGGAAAGAAAATTTGAGCCATTATCACTATGAGACTAACTTAGTGTTAATCACTCACTGCAGAACATACGCTGGGCTGCATAGCGTGACGGTTATTAGATGCAGATTCTCAACAACCGCTCCATAAACACTACTGTATTTTCTGCCACTGCAGATCACGGAGCAGTTCTCACTGGAATCAGTGTCCTTTCCTAATCCAATAATCCACTGAAACAGAAAGCTCTCTGCTTCTTTCTTCCCCTGATGTGGATTAGAGCCTGTAACATTTTTAAAGGAATTTATCACAGCATGACAAATTTTAATTAAAAGCTCCAGAAAACAAGTGCTGAGCATATTTCTCAAAAGAAAGAAAAATCCTCTAAGACTTGAAATTTAACACGAGCTCTGAACAGCATGGCTATGAAATGAGATTAGATTTTGCCTTCTCTGCAGACTGGCTATTTAACTTCCAGATTTGTTTTATTCACAACGACGAACTTGCTTTCACTTTTGGTATGCAGAAGTATCATCATTATGGACTGTTCTCCCCTACTCACATTTTTAGCCCTACAGTTTAGAGGACATTAGATGACATTTCCAAAAGCATCCAAGTAATGTGGAAAGATGATTCTTATTTTCAAAACTAAATAGTGATACCTTAGATCATCTCTGGAATTTAATCTCAGAACTTAAATTGGATAGGTACTGTAGCAAAAACTGATTACTAAAAATCATGACACAAGAAAACAGGAGAAATCAGAGGGCTGGTGGGATTTTTCAAAAGAATCTGGGCGCTCACTTCCACTGCAATGGACTCAGTCAGGCCCCATGCTTATTTACACACTTAAATGCCCAACTGCTTTTAAAAATTTGCCACTTTGCTACTTTTTTTTTCCAAAAGTGGCAGAAAGCCCCTAAATCATCTAGGCACAGTACAGAAATTGCTGCTTTTACCTCTAAGGAAGCTATGGTGACTTGTATCAGCCAAGAACATGACCCTTCACTAACAACAAATCCCCCAACTTTTAAGTCCCTTTCTGGCATAGAGAATCTACCAGAGAAAATGCCCAAAACATCATGGGAGGGGAAGACTCCTCCTCACCCTCTGCTCTTTAGGCATCAAACAGTTGTTGCTTTCCTTCTAACAAGGGTGAGGTCTCAGCTACAACAGTCTCCTTGCTGCCTTTGTTGTCGGGCCAGCTGAAGAAGAGCCTGAACTGCGCAGACAGCATACCAAGAAAAACTCTAAGGTGAGACAGTGCAACTGCAAGGCAGACAGTAAGATTACATCTTCACCGCTTTTTAAGGAGCTTGGCTCTAAAGTAAAAGCCAAAGATCAAAATACAAATGAGAGGCCTGTATCAGGTGCTGCTCAAATTACACAAACCACTGGAGCTTCCTAACATTCCACCCACACTAGGATGGGTTAAAACAACAGCCCTGCTGGCTCCCCTGACTCTCTAGGTGGCTCGGGTGTCTTGCTAGCTCAGATATTAGCACCTAGGAGCAGCACACAGGGGAGAGGGAGAGGGAGAGGGAGAAACTGTTGATATTCCTAATGACTGGCAGCTGCATGATCCAAGGGAGGGGAAAGGGGAGGATAATTAACCACTTATACACCAAGTACTTTGTCCATAAATCTAGTCTATAATGATAGCAAAGAACAGGAAAAAAACTGAGGGGGGAGAAAAAAGTGGTAGGGAGATTACTAGCAATGGACTCCGACCGCAAAAAAGCAGTCAGAACCAAGTCTCCTCAAAGTTCAAGCACATTATGTTAAGGGTCATTAAAGATCAGCTGAAAAATCCTTCCCAAGGTCAGACTCATTCCAGTGCAGTCTTTTGGCTCAGGTCAGTACCATCCTCTAGGAAAAACATGTAGCGAGCACACAAGGTACATTTAAGAGTTAAAGTTATTAAAGCAGATCAGAAAGGCAGGGAAACAAGACTCCACAAAAGTTACCTGGAACTAAAACACCCAAACCCGATCCCTACAGTAGATAAACCATCAGCTGGGATTCCTGCACAGTCTCCTTTGCTTCTGCTGACTTACTGAAAGACTTAAGAGGCAAATCTGCTCTGAAGAGGAAATGCATGTAGGAATAAGGTAACTGACAGACGCAGAATGGAAAAAGAGACTGAATTAACAGTAGGTGATGTGAACATAAACATTTCTTCAGATTCCATCCTGCCATTCTGCCTTAAGCAAAATTTGCACCGAAGACAAAAGGTTCTCGTTCAAGCGAAGAGTTTGAGAGGATCCTTTAGTTCAACTGTGCGCAACAGCGGCAGAAGGAAGACACAGGTTACAAGAAGAGGAAGAAGTAGATAAAAATGAAAGAAAAGAAAACCCAGTGGTTTTCAAGTCAAGCAGTGTCTATGTCCAAGGACATAATGAGGAGCTGACAAGCCCTACAATTGGGGGGCGGGGGGGAGGGAAGGGGGGAAATACGGTGAAGCTGTCCAGAAAGGTTTCTAAGATTCCCCCTGAGAAAGCATCAGCCCAGAAGACTGTTGTATGTGCACTATAAGCAGACATGGCTGTGGATACATATGATGTGAGTGCAGTGCAATTTCCGATACGTCTACAACCTCTTTTGTGATGTGAATCTGATATGACCCTTTAATGAATGCAATGTGTTTACAAAGCCATAATACAGGCAGCGAAATAAATGCAGTTTCTGCAAGTTTCTTCAGATGCAGTTGCATAGAAGCCAAAGGAAGACACAAGGACTAAAGACAGGACTACTTCAGTCTGAACAAAAAAAACCTTAAGATTTGTTTTTTTGAAGGTGTTGTTTTGTCTTCTGAAAAAGGCTTTACTGAAAAGGCTTTAACTAGGTTTTGAGATCTTCAAATTTTCAGTTAGGTAATGAAATCGGTTTGAGTCACTTAAGTGACTCAACCTTATGGTGCAGTAACATGTAAAAGAAAAGTATATATATTGATTACCATAAGCTACATTTTCAGCAGAGTTTTTAATGCATCTCCACAGCCTATTCCCAGATAATCAGAAGCTAAATGACAGTTACAGTTAATAAGCAAAATCATTTCTTGGAAGAGACATCCTATGACAGAATCTTCAGTAATACTGATGGTAAAGAAATGGTCCACAAACTGCATCCAAATATCCCAAATTTTGCATGGGTTTGGATATAAAATTAGATCCAAATTGCTCAGCTGGTTCCTCTTTATTATGAGTTTTAAGAAACTCTGAACTTCTGAAAAAAGTTTGATCTGGATTTTGTAGGCAAACTCTTTCATGTTTCCACAGATTCACAGTGAAAGGGAACAACAGCAATTCACTGAGTGTTTTTTCCCTTCCCTGGTGGGGGGGGGAGGGAAATCAGTGGAAATAGCAGCAGCT